CAGGTGTTTTTTTGTTTTGGTTTAAAAATAACTTTTTATTCTGGGACAATTCTAGATTTTCAAAAAAGTTGCAACGAATTTAATATAGTTTGGGTATCTCCTCCAAATCTCAGTTGAGATGTAAGCCTCAGTGTTGGAGGTGGGGCCTGGTGGGAGGTGTTTGGATCACGGGGGTGGATCTCTCATGAAATGGCTTAGCGCCCTCTCCTTGGTGATAAACGAGCTCTCCTTCTGAGTTCACACGAGATCTAGTCATTTCAAGCTATGTGGCACCTTATCCCCAGGCCTGCTGTCTCTGTTGTTCCTGCATTTGCCATGTGAGGTGCCTGCTCTTGCTTCGCCTTCCACCGTGATTCTAAGTTTTCTGAGACTGAGGCCGCCCCAGAAGCTGATGCTAGAGCTATGCTTCCTGTATAGCCTGCAGAACTGTGAGCCAAGTAAATCTCTTTTCTTTGTAAATTACTCAAGTCGTAGGTATTTCCTTATAGCAATACAAGAACAGCCTATTACAAATTATGTGGGAGTTCCCATAGGTCCCTTATCCAGTTTCATTTTCGCCTGATGTTATAGTCTTCTTGTCTTGGTTTTTCCTTGTTCTCTATACAATCTTACTACCTCAGGGCCCAAAGGTTCACATTCATTTCTATTTAAGAAGCCACGTTTGGAGAATTGGGAACTGCTCAACTCTCCCAATAGCCTCTCTCTGAAATCAACCCTCAACCAGATTAACTCTGTAGTGAGCCCACCTGCTGGCTTCATTTGCCTCCCTCTGGTGTGAGAGTCAGAGGGGGTAAGAGCTGTTCAGAACAGCATCTGAGAAACACAAACTCTGTTGGAAAATAGTCTCTCTTCTCTCACCCTGAAGTCTTTTAAGGCAGGACTACCCAGAGCCTATCATGGAGAGAGAAAGTGCATGTTTTAGTCAGAACACTCTCTAATGTTAGCTGCATACCCCTTCTAAAAAATAGAAGGGAGTGCAAAGAGGAGATAATTTGCTTAAATATCCACACCTGTGAACTACAGTAGCCTTGCCCCTCTTCCTACTTCCTGTGATATGAGTCAGAGGGCCCCAAGTGTGGCCTTCTGGCTTCAGAGAGTGATAATAGCCTTTGTGAAGTCACCAGCCACAGGTAAGTTTGCCTACAAAGAATTATCTCCGTTTTGTTTGTTTGCAGCTGCTGAAAGTAGCTGATAGACAAGGATAAATATAGATCAAATTTTGTATAAAGTCACTCAATTTATCTTATGAACTGGATTGACTTACAGCCTGTAAAATATCTGTGTCTACTACCTACCCCTAAAACCTGCAATTGCATCTCACCAAAATACAGTCTCTGAAGAGTTCTTGTCTGTGGTTATAGGGCTGACCATGCTGGCAGCATTGCCACTGGGTCTGTCACTGAACAGTACCTTGATCTTCATGGTGCTGGGCGCTAGGGCTGTGATCTCCTTCTGCATTCGGTCGGCAATGCCAGGGTACATAGTGGTGCCTCCCGATAGGACATTGTTAGCGTAGAGGTCCTTCCTGATGTCAATATCACACTTCATGATGCTGTTGTAGGTGGTTTCATGGATGCCTGCAGACTCCATCCCTGGAAAGAGACACAGGTCATGGTCCTTAGGTGGAGGGTAGAACCCAGGCTAGGCATGAAAGACCAGACTTGAGCATCTGGATAGTCTTGCAGTGGACTGAGGCTGGGAAGACATAGTGATCTAGAAGCCACCTGTCTGAGAGACTAAAGGGCCTTGTTATGCTCTGTGTCTTCCTGACTCTCTTCTAATGAGGGAGCCCTGCTATAGCGTCCTGAGGTGTGGGCTACAACAGGGTATCAGGTATCACTGAGGTTTTTTTGTTTTTTTGAGACAGAGTCTTGCTCTGTCACCCAGGCTGGAGTGCAGTGGTGCAATCTCGGCTTACTGCAGCCTCTGCCCATGAGGCTCCAGCAGTTCTCCTGCCTCAGCCTCCTGGGTAGCTGGGATTACAGGCACATGCCACCACACCAGGCTAATTTTTGTACCTACAGTAGAGACGGGGTTTATCCATGTTGGCCAGGCTTGTCTTGAACTCCCAGCCTCAGCTGATCCACCTGCCGTGGCCTCCCAAAGTGCTGGGATCACAGGTGTGAGCCACCGTGCCTGGCCTCACTGACTTTTTAATAGACTCACTACTTACTCTGTGTGGTTTAAATAAGCAGTGAAGCCTTCTGATTCCCTGCAAAGCTTCCACACTGAGACAGTGTTGCAGCCACTCTTCAGAGCTCTCCCAGGTCTCTGACAGCTGCCTTACATCTGCCCCAACCCCTAAAGCTAATGGGGCTGGATTATCAGGAAAACATTTTATCCTATTTAGGCAAAGGCTCATTTTTTCCAACCTTGTTAACATATTATTTTTGGTGGGGGGTCTGGACTTTTGTTAATTTCTGATACAGGTGTTTTGAAAAAAACCTTAGGTGGCCCTTCATCTTCTGCAGTGCTGTGACATAATGATACTGTTAACAATAGCACTACCTGATTATTAATTACTAGTGATATCTGATCATTATTGAATGCTTGCTTTTGCCAGGCAGTGGGCTAAGTGCTCCATATCTATCTCGTGTAATTCTCACAGCCATCCTAGGACATATGTAATATTATAGTCTCCACTTTATACATGAGGAGACCAGTTGGGGTGGCTAAGTGACTGTCCCAAGATCAAGACAACTAAGACTGAAACCCAGCCTCACCCCTCTCTGAGTCTTCCTCTGTAAACAACTATGCGAACCTGTCTCTCCAAGACAATGTGAATGTAGGAGCAGACTCACTTTGGGTGTGCTTCTGTTTTTCTCTTCCACTAGCATTCCCAAATTCTCATCATCAGCACATTCTCCCTACTCTTTCCACTGTCTCCAAAGCACAAGCATTATTTAATTATTTCATCATACACCAAGAATGCGTTGGGCTTAACTGTGACATAGTGTTTTCTTAGGAATAAAACTTCTTTCCTGGCCTCTGTATGTCTTCTCACCTTGAAAATGTGGCACTTTCCCTTTCTCTGGTTTAGAAATGTTTTGGTCTTGGGGGAACTGTCACTTGCCTCCATGTGCTGGAGGCTGGCTTGATATGGGAGAGGACAGTGACTCCTCTTCCCGGGAAAAGAACATTTGTTGCCTACCGATGAAGGACGGCTGGAACAGGGTCTCTGGGCAGCGGAAGCGTTCATTTCCGATGGTGATCACTTGCCCATCAGGCAGCTCGTAACTCTTCTCAAGGGAGGAGGAGGATGCGGCAGTGGCCATCTCATTTTCAAAGTCCAGAGCTACGTAACACAGTTTCTCCTTGATGTCCCGAACGATCTCACGCTCAGCTGTCAATCAGATACAGACATTGTGGCAAACATTAGGGTCTGCACAGGTGGAAAGATCCATCTGCCCTACTTCAGTCTCACCCTCAAGACTTGGGCCTCCAAAACATGTGTCAGTTCAGTATTCTGCAATCCAAAATCCATGATGATAATGACGTAGTAGGGCCACCAGGGAACCACCTCTGTTCCTAGCACAGTGTCTCACACATAGTAGGCCTTCAGTATGCATTGTCTGGGGAATGCATATCAAGAATAAAATGAGCTAGCTAGAGAAAGGCACACAGTAGGGAATCCTCTTGTACTATAACTTTTTTTTGTTTGTTTGCAGGATAACTACCCTCTTTATATATGTTATTTTATAACAGAGAGTTTATTTTCAGTTAACCAGGAAGTCTTATGCTAAATCAGCTCCTCAGGGGCCTCACAGTTTTCAGAAAGCCCAAGATCATGTTGCCTAGGGTAGTAGATAGCAGCTCCAACCTCTGGCACGTTTCTCACCCTCCAGTAAAAGGTGGTGCGGGCTCAGGACCAGGCTAGTCAAAAGGTTTTAGTGGTGCATACTGAAAGAGATAAGGAGGAAGTAGGCAGGCAGAGACCTTTCAGACTTCTGCTCTCTGAAGTTCTAGGCTCTTACTTATAGCTGAGGCTCTGCGAACATTTTAGAGGTATCTTGGGATTCATGTAGGGAGCACAGGAGAAATGCAATTATTCAACTTCATATTGCAAGTGGGGACTTTAACAGTGGCAGGGCTCAAGCTTGGAGATTAAAATAAGCGTCAAATTTGGAGCATAAAATAAGCCTCAGGCATGTTCAGAAACCTACACATTTGGACAATACCAAATTGCTGAGGGGAGGGCAGGTATCTGAAGCCACCAACACTGAGGACATACTGTGTTGCTGGCAATGCCTGACACTTTCCTCTAGTGAGGGAGGACTGGGTGTACCGTCTTAGAATCTGAATACACATGTGTCGCTGTGTTAGCTATTAATATGTATCATTGTTAATAGCTAACAATTATTGAATGCTTACTCTGTGCCAAGTATTCCACATGCATTCTCTCATTTAATATTCATAACAATCATGTGATATAGGATCTATTATTATCCCCATTTTACAAATAAAGAGACTATGGTCGGTTAACTTGTCCAAGCTCACAGAGCTACTGAGTAGCAGAGTTAGGACTCAGGTCCTGTCACAGTGTCTCCTGCCAATCACCATACCATGCAATCTTCAGTCTCTGCACAATCTTCTTCTATTTGTTAATGGAGGGGATTAAAAAAAGGTCAAGTATACAACACTGACCAATGCATAACACTAGGTGTCAGTAACTGTTCTCCTCAAGGAAATATTAAAGATGTGTTTTGCTGTGTGCATTAGAGCCAGGCCTTGCCATTTGCAAATCTTCATCCCATCATCTCCTTGCTTAGTGAGGATGGTCCTGGAAGTTCCTGAGCAACACACTGCTCCCTTCTCCCCTGGGTCTCCCACAGGCCTCACCGGTAGTAACAAAGGAATAGCCACGCTCAGTCAGGATCTTCATGAGGTAGTCAGTGAGATCTCGGCCAGCCAGATCCAGACGCATGATGGCATGGGGCAAGGCATAGCCCTCATAGATGGGGACATTGTGGGTGACACCATCTCCAGAGTCCAGCACGATGCCTGGGAGGCAATTGGGTATTATAGGAGTCACTACAGCAGCTGGCATGTGCTTACTTGCTGGTCAAGTAGAGGGAAGCCTTCAGGGAGGGGGAATTTCTGAACCTCTTAATTGAAGAGAGAAAAGAGGGCATGTGATGGGAGAGGCGAGGTGGGACAGGGCTCGGGGAAGATGAATAAAAGGGAAGAACAGGAAGAGGAAAACAGTAGAAAAGGTTCAGCTAGAAGTAAGAGGTTGGGCCGGGCGCGGTGGCTCACGCCTGTAATCCCAGCACTTTGGGAGGCCGAGGCGGGTGGGATCACAAGGTCAAGAGATCGAGACCATCCTGGTCAACATGGCGAAACCCTGTCTCTACTAAAAATACAAAAAATCAGCTGGGCATGGTGGTGCGTGCCTGTAATCCCAGCTACTCAGGAGGCTGAGGCAGGAGAATTGCCTCAACCCAGGAGGCGGAGGTTGCAGTGAGCCAAGATTGTGCCATTGCACTCCAGCCTGGGTAACAAGAGTGAAACTCTGTCTCAAAAAAAAAAAAAAAAAAAAAAAAAGAAGTAAGAGGTTAAGGGCTTATTTTGAACACAAGATATTTTAGGGCTGGCTTCAGCCTGGTCAATTCTAACTCAGCCCAGTCATCACCCCCATGTGTTTATGACCATGCAATCACATATCTGGAGGTGCACTCCAACAAGCTTCCCGTCCCTCCCAGCCACCTACCGGTTGTACGTCCAGAGGCGTAGAGGGACAGCACTGCCTGGATAGCCACATACATGGCTGGGACATTGAAAGTCTCAAACATAATCTGCAAAGCAATCCAAAGAGCTGAGTAAGTGAAGGTGCCCATCTGACAAAGAATGGTCAGGAGGGTACACCTGGTTGATGGATGCAGAGGGGCCTGACCCATTCTGGGCAGAGGAGGCCAAAGTAAGAAGGATCAGAACATCCCTGGTCACGTAAAGAAGAGAAATGAAGGTGTGAATGGGGAACCATGACATTAGTGACCTGGCAGGGTGGGAAGCAGAAGAAGCAGTGTGCACACAGGCTTGGCCAAGGGAAAGGAACGTCTAGCTTCTGGCTCTGATCCTGGCTTTGACTAATAGTCACCAAAGTAACAGTTAACTAATAGTGGCATCATTCCAGGTCTCTTAACTGTACACAGAGGAGGAGCTTGGACTAAATGGGCTCTCCAGCTTTTCCAGTGTAGACAACCTAGGGTTTGTTAACTATATCAAGGCCAGAAGAAAAAGAGAAGATAACATCCAGGTTTTGATTTCTCTGCTATAAACAAAGAGATCTTTTAACTCTGAAGTTCAGACTGACTGGGATTAGCCCCATTTCTGTGATTTGCCTGAGGTTCCATTTAATCTGTCCCACTTTTTTATATAGTGTGGGTCAGTGCTGACTCTAGAATCTGAGGCCATTCTGACTGCAGTGGGAGAGGCCTTGAATCCTGGAAGACAGGAACTGCCCACTGGTAACAGAGGACCACACAGACAGTCAATGCCCCAGTTCATGTAGTCCAGGGACAAGATTAGAACTCAAGCCCCTCCAGGTCACTGGTGAGAAGTTTGTGAATCAGGAGATGTCCAGGGGTCTTCATTTCTCCATCTGTAAGACCTTTCCTGCTCTATTACCCAGAATGTCTGACATCATTTGCTAGCGAAGCATAATTTCCAATCTTTTTTTGTTTTTTGCCCTCACACCATTCTCAGGAGCAATAAGTCATCAGAAGCAACATCTCTTGCTACATGCAGTGATTCTCAGGCACACAGATGTTCCCCTGTGGAGAACACGTGCTAGTGTGTTGGTACAAGCACCAGGAGCTACTCTGAGGGAAAGGCTTTGCAGTTATTTACATTTATGATTCTCCAATGCTGGAAGATCATGGATCAATCCCAGGCTCTGCCAGTTCTAGCTGTGTGACCCTGGAAGAATCACTTAATGTATCTGAGCCTTGATTTCTTCATTTATGTAATCAGTATAATCATAGATCCTGCTTCACATTGCTAGAACTTAAAGAGACAGTGAATGTAAAATGCTGAGCCTAGTACTTGACCATAGCAAGTATAGAATTGACATTAGATGCTGTTATTTAATAGCTCATCCAAACTAGAAAACTCCTCTGTCTGGTGGACTGGATGGGATTGTATTCTAAGGTTTTGAGCTTCAGACAAATAACAATAATGACAATGATTATTATTATTTGTTGGGTGTTTATTAGGCACCATGTGACACATCCGTCATTTCACCTCATTAATGTTCATATCAATCCTTTGAAAAATGATAATATTACTCCCAACTTATAAACAAGAAAACTGAGGCTCTGGGAAATTAACTGGGTTCTTTAAGGTCACACAACTAATAAGACATATCCTAGATATGCCTGACTCCAGAACCCAAATTCCTATTGTATGTGATGCTACATTTTGAAGTGACTTCTCCTTAGACATTTTAACTTTAACATAGCCCCTTTTCAATGAAATATTTTAAATTTCCTATTGCTTTTTGAGGCAACGGGCTGGTCCCTGCAAGAAGGCTGCAAGTACCATCAAGCTGTTTCTGTTCTTTGGAATCCCTGAGTTCACTGAAGGTTGTTAGTCTGTTGGTGGACTGCTGGCCCTGGCCTTCTCTCTGCTGCCCTGCATAGCTCCTTTCTAACAGAACATTCCCCAGATCCCAAAGTGTTGAGTGCTGGGGTAGATACTTACCTGGGTCATTTTCTCCCGGTTGGCCTTGGGGTTCAGGGGTGCCTCTGTGAGCAGAGTTGGATGCTCTTCAGGGGCAACACGAAGCTCATTGTAGAAAGAGTGGTGCCAGATCTGGTGAGTTGGGGAACAGAGGAGAATCACAATGGTGTGCTATCGTGAGGCCCTGCATTTCCCAAAAAGGGACCAGAAGCTACCAGAAACCAAGACCAAAGGAAATGCTACAAGTATTCATTATGTGTCCATGGTTTTATAGATGCAGAGACTGAAGCTCAAAGTGTGTAAGTACCTTCTTGAAGGATTCACATCTAGTGAGCAGAATCCCTAACCCAGATCTGTGAGGCAAGATAGTACAGTGGTTAAGGGCACAAATCTTGGCCCAACTTGGCTATTTCATGGATGTATGAGCTTAGGCAAGTTTTTAACCCTTCTCAGCTCCAGTCTCATGATTGGTAATAGGAAGATGAAAATACTTAGTGTGTAACTCATTGGGTCTTTGTACAAATAAATAAGGTAACCCTTAAGTTATTGTTTAGCCCAGTGCCTGGCCAAGAATCAATGTTATTATCATTCAACTCTATTTTCTTTGTTATCTCTTTCCATTTTAGTTAATGTTCATGGGAAAATGATTTAATTTTGTAAATAAAAAGACAAATGAATGCATACATGAATAAATGAAGCTTACTTGAAAACCTAATCACCACTTTTAATGCTTCTAGAGAAGTTGGCCTTTGCAATGTACATGGAGAAGAGAACTGAGCTCCTTGCCTCTTGCCTCCATGAGAGTCAAGATGAAAAAGGCTTCCTCTATCAGCACACTTTGGATCTTCCACTCCCAGTCAGACATTTGGCCTTAGGTGTTTCCAAAAGACCTATTCCTGTGTATAGTGTATCTATGTGAAGGTACTTTGGACATAATTACATTTGCTTTATGGTTGGGCACTCTCTTTAATTCCTGGATGCCAAAAAGAAACCATTGCAAAAAGGACTAAATTAATTAATCTTTAAAAGCATGAAAATTCTCCACCAAAGCCAGGAATATGAGATTCATCCAAAACTAAAACAGAGCAAAACAAGAACTGCTGGTAAAAGCTTATAAATTAGCAAAAACAAGATTAGCTTTAAAGACTATCTTATTCCAGTTTCTCTTGTTTTGGATTTGTGGTTTCTAGAAAGGAAATGAAACTTCTAAAAGTTTTGTTTCTTTGGTGGAGTCAAAGCAGCAGAATGCTTAAGAAATCCTGCCAGTCACAACAAGCACCCCTTCTCCTTCTCCCTCTCTTTCTCTTCACCCCCACCAGAAGGTACTTTGAATTTAAATTTTAGAAATAAGAAATTTTTTGTTGTTCCAATATTCTCTCCCTAGGAGGATACATTCTAAGATGCTATCAGCTCCATGGAGAAATTCTAAAAGAGTATTTTCCTACTGATTTTAATATTTTTTTCTCTGTGCACACTGGGAAATCTTACCAAATCTAGAATCCTCAATTAAGCAAATCTACTGATATGTAATTTTTATAGAAAGATAGAGGTTGAAGCATTACTATTGATAAATTCTAGTAACATTATATATTTTTCTTTTGTGTGTGTGTATGTGTGTGTAGCAGTGAGCTAATAGATAAATAAAAGGCCAGATGTTGTGATTCTGATATATCTTATTTCATTTAACATTTTTTATGTCACTTTCTCATTATTTTTTCTCTTTTTCTCTGATCACTGTATCTGTAATGCTTAATGACCAAACGTCAAAATCTTAGAAGTTAGCTCTTCTTTTCATTAGCTCTTTTATAAGTGTCTGGGAGATAAAGCCTCATTTAATGCAACACAGAGAAATAATTTTTAAAATATTTATTGTATAGCTTTTTACAGTGGCTGTTGTGTTTCAGCATGTGGAGAGGCATTCAGAAATGTACCAAATCTACAATGCTACAGTCCTGTTTACTATAGTGAAAACTAAAACACTTTTAATTTAGACGTTTAGTGTAAGTTAATGAAAACCTTTCAAGAATAGGCTGATTAAGGCTATTCCCAGCATTTCAACTCCTCATGAGCTGTATTGCACTGGAAGGGATAGCCATGCAGTCCCTGATGAGAATGAAAGGAAGGTTATTCTCTGAGCTGCTGCTCATGCACTGCTTGTCCTAGGAGGGTAACTGAGTTGACATGAGCAACAGGTGATTAATTCCCTGCAGTGGCAAAGGGCTACTCTTCTAATCTACAGAACTGTCATCCTCTAATTAGTTAATAAACCCTAATAGGCAAAGGCATTGTTTTTCTTTTTTTAGAGACAGAGTCTTACTCAGTTGCCCAGGCTGGAATGCAGTTTATGATCAGCTCACTGAAGCTTCAAACTCCTGGGCTCAAATGATCCTACCACCTCAGCCTCCTGAGTAGCTGGGACTACAGTGGCATGCCACCACATACTGTTAATTAAACATTTTCTTTTTTTTTTTTTGAGAGACAGGGTTTTGCTATGTTGCCCAGACTGGTCTCGAACTCCTGGCCACAAGTGATCCAAAGTGTTGGGATTACAGGTGTGAGCCACTGTGCCCTGCAGGACTTTTTCTTCTTTTTCTGAGATAGGGTCTCACTCGGTCACCTAGGCTGGAGTAAGATCTCAGCTACTGCACGCTCAATCTCTCAGGCTCAGGTGATCCTCCCACCTCAACGTCCCAAGTAGCTGGGACAGAGGTGCCTGGCTAATTTAGTTTATTTTTTGTAGAGACAGGATCTTACTATGTTGCCCAGGCTGTTCTCAAACTCCTGGGCCAAGTGATCCTCCCACCATGGACCCCCAAAGTGTTGACATTACAGATGTAAGCAAGCATGCCTGGCAAGAGATTTTTTTTTTTTCTGTAAAGATTCATTTCAGGATTTGTTTTTTTCAATGGGTAATAACCCAGAATGAACATTAACAAGTAAAAGTACAGTTGAGCAATGTGAGCCAGTTATTTCCCCCAGCAGAAGTGTGGGGGTTTGTATCAGAGAACACAGGGAGTAGTATGCATCCTGAGGGCCGAAGCTGCAGCAAACCTCCCATACCTTTTCCATGTCGTCCCAGTTGGTGATGATGCCGTGTTCTATCGGGTACTTCAGGGTCAGGATTCCTCTTTTGCTCTGTGCTTCATCACCCACGTAGCTGTCTTTTTGTCCCATTCCCACCATCACCCCCTAAAAAGGTTCAACACATTATCAGTTTGCATCTCCCAAAACTTGTGGATTGATTACAGTCAAGCCACAAAGTTTAAATCATTGAGATGGAAAGTTCCTCTTCTGATTATTAGTAACTATAAACATATTGAGTCTCATTGTCACTATGCTCTTAAGCAATGTTCTGTGGTTGATTAGAAAAAGACCTGAATTGCCTCCAAATAACAAGAGGTGTTGGGGGAACGTCAAGTTTATATTTTTTATCTCTTATGTTCCTTGATGAGCTTTTATAGGGCAGAGATCATGTCTGTCTTTTTCATCACTATAGCAAATTGCATGGCACATATTTGGCACTCGATAATTATTTGTTGAAAGAATGTATACAATTTTACATATTCGTTAAATGGCATTTTGTATCTTATAAATCCTTTAAGCTGTACTTTTAAAGTTATTACCTACCAAAAAGAATATGAGTATTGTTTTCTATTACAAGTGAAAGCATTGCATCTACAAGTAACCACTTGAGGCTTGATTTCTAATGGATAAATTCATACCAATCAACTGTGAAGACATTTGCTTAAGCTAGTCAGCTGCATTTTTAAAAAATCATTAAGATGAAGCTTTTAAAAAATTATTGTTACTAGATTTTAAATCACACTGGAGTAGCTGTTTTAGAACTACAAAACAGCCGTGGCTACTGTGGATCCATAAAATAATGGCTTGTGCAGAAAATCTCCACTGCATAAAGATCAACAAATTCAGACAGACTGCATTCATTGGGAGAGGTTTATATTATTTATTCTTGTGAATATATCCCAAGCTGAGAGGCATAAACATCCATCAGATAGCCTCAATGCACAAAATATACTTCCGATGTGGAGGAGAATTTCTGAGATGCAATTACTGAGTTTTACCATATGACTGTCACCAATACTTTGTTTACACATAATATGTAAAATTACCATGTGCCTGCCCAAATATATTTTGTTGACAGCTAATATTATATAAAATTGCATTTGGTATCAATGCTTGCTTTCATCTAACATCAAGCTCTGTATGGCTAAGTGACCTGGGCTTTTATTTAGTTTCTTTCCAAAGAGTAGTTTTGGTATACATCAGGATAATGTATAAGCATTTCTGATGGTGATTAGATGATTTTGATGATGATGATGACTATATTTAGACAAAAAGGACACATGAAAAAGAGGCAGACTTTGTATCCAATAGACACCCATTAGATAATCTGTCTACATTGTATGTGAAATTGGCATTTACTCTGGACCTTAATCATCAGAGGTATATTTTTACAAGGTTACATAGCTCCTAGGCAGAAAGAGATAGACAATCAGTGGATACACATGGACACAGAGGAACCTAATCTATAGCCCTGTTCTGTTCCAATCATAATTTTCCTTACCTGATGTCTGGGACGTCCCACAATGGAAGGGAAAACAGCCCTGGGGGCATCATCCCCAGCAAAGCCGGCCTTACAGAGCCCAGAGCCATTGTCACACACCAAGGCAGTGCTGTCCTCTTCTTCACACATAGCTGGAGCTGCTTCACAGGATTCTACAGAAAACAGGGAGGAAGCAGTCTTTGCTGTAACTGGGCATTTGTGGCACTTACCTGACAACTCCCACCTCCAAGGCTGGGTTTGGGGCCCTTCCTCTGTTCTCCTAGTGCTCCCTGCTGACCCTTATCTAATATAGCATGTATCTGGAAGTACTTCAGTTAGACTGTAAGCTTTCAGTAAGGTGAAACTCTGACTTCCAAATCTCTGACTTCCATGTTTATATAACTTTAGTATAGTGGCCGGCATATCATGTGTTCTCATGAGCACTTTAGAGCTGGACCGAGCCAGTGAATGAATTAACAAACTGCAGAGCACAGATGGGAATTCTAGACTCTGAGACCAGATCTTTGCAGAGACAAGTTGCCTACCTTATGTTAAAGAAGCATCAAGATTGTCCTGTCTGTATCAACCCAAATGCCCATTTTTCTAGATAAGCCCATTTTCTATTTTTGAAATTTTTTTCAAAGCTAGACTTTTGAGGGAGAGGCAGCATGTGAAAATTTAGAAATATTAAAATGGTAAAGTGTTTAATGGAAATATTTAAAGAGAAAATCTTTTTTGAATCATGAGGACTTTCATTTTACTTCAGAGAAGCTTTGAAATAAGTCAAAATTTTATGAGAACATGCTTTAAATTTTAGGGGCTGCAATTATCCGCTGTTTATAAAAGTTACTGTTAAGCTAAAAGTCCAACAAGTGAGGGTGAGCCTGATGGATTATATATCATATGGTAGACTACTGCCATTAAAAAGGTTGAGTAAAACGACAAGCAAAGCTAGTTCCTATGTAAGAGTAATAGGTTAGAGAAAGTAACATTGTATACCCCGTTAAAATATATTTTTATGTACTGCAAAAAGATTAATCATATTTACCAGGATGTTAACTGGGGCTATTTTCAAGTGGTAGGTTTTGTAGGTGTTTTTATTTATCTCCCCTTGGTTCTGTCATATTTTTAACATTTTCTAAACTCAATGTGCATTTCTTTGGTAACGAAATTTTAAATAACACACTTTATGCTTGGATGCTTTCATAAAATTAGAAAGGCTGGAGCAGAATATCAACTTACAAATTTGAGAAATGGAAGGCATATTAGAGGACATTTTCATCCAATGCTCTCTCATTTTCACAAATAAGAAAATACAGAAGTGATTGCTCAAGGGCACACAGGGCATTGGAGGTTGCGCTTTAGCCACATATCAGGACCCTTTGGCTACCCCTTGGCTTCCAGTTCAAGATCTCTTCCACTTTTCTAATCACAATTATTAGGTGGAAATGTTCCATTAAGAGATGGACACCCAGAATTCTCTGCCTGGCATCGAGATCTCAATTAGGATTTCAAATGGAGAAAATGTCTTCTTTTAAATGGGTGAATTGATTGCACATACAAATCCATATTTTTTAAAAGGCAGTTCTTTTAAGGAAACTTCTGAGAAGTAGTGAAATAAAATAGCTATCACAGAGTTGGAGTTCTGCCAAAACATTCCCACAGAATCAAAGCTGTGTCTTGCCAGAGGCCTAGAACTTCCTTAGCAGTACTTCATGTAAAATAACCCTTTGCAAAAAACGTAAAACTAAACTGAGATTTGTTTTAAAGTCAAGGCATGTAACATTATCTTCAACTGACAAGGAAATCAAGGCTTAAGGAGATAAAGTGACTTGTCCAAGAGCCTTGAACTGATGCATTTAGGACAATGGCAATTTCAGATCACAGTGATGATGAGTTCAGGCTCTGAAGTCAGAAGATTGCCTGGATTTGAGTCCAGGCTCCAACACTTACAAACTGTGATTTTACTTATTTAACATCTCTAAACCACAATTTCCTTACCATAAAACAGTAGTGATCTAAGGACATACCTCAAGGAGTTCTTATGGAGATTGCATTTTTAAAAGTGTTTAATTTACAGCTGCAGAGATGCTGTAAGTTCTT